TGAAATGCGGTAGCTAAAACATGAGGGAAAAAATCACTCTCTCCCCTGCTGGGAGAAACGCTCTGACAACAACGTAGAAAATATCCCAGGCTTGGAAGCCGGGGATTATTTTCTGTGCAATTTATTGCTCACACTTTAGCACTGCATAGCTCTTTTAAATTTCTGTTAAGCATCATTGTTTGAAAAAAGGATTTTGTAGCAGTATCAGCTGGCACGGATTTGTCTGCTGACTTTTAATGAGTCCTCAGCAGCAGCAGTTTTGCTATCGAAGGTGTTGGGCTGGCTTAACTATCTGCATTGTGCAGTTCCTGCTTGCTTGGCTGGTTAACCTTTCTCCACAGGCAGGCAGCGAATAGCCGAGGAAATCAGGTAACACCGAATACGAGGACAAAAAAAGCCACAGTAACAAGAGAAATACAGAGTTATTTTTGGTGTTTTACTATTTTCCTTGGCAAACAAGGAGCATTTCTTAGCGTTCCATATAACGAACCCATACATTAAGATTTCAGACAATTAGGATGAGCAGGGTTTTCCTCACCTAAGAGATAGGAAGAAAAGAGCAAGTACGACTGGGTTTCTCGGTGCCTGAGTACTTATAAAATTTTGTATCACCGTTACTCTGGTGATCCTTAATGAAGACATGTAGAAATTAGTCCTGGCAATCTTTCTAGCTGTATTCTACCACTTATAACTGGATCAGGTGTTTTCATCGTTGTTCAGGCCTGGTGCGTCCTACTGCCGGGTTCCACCTCACAGCTAAGTGTATTTTGACACTGGGTAACTTTATTTTGCTGGGTATTTCACACGCCACTTAGATTAAAGTCCTACATGCCTGAGAGCTCACGTGATGTTAACTTATACAGTCAAGAGTAATAAACTAAGATAATGTTCATATATGCTAACATACATGACAACCGTCGGAGCCAGGTAATGACCCTATTATGAAGTAAATGAGCCATCTCCGATCACAGCCTCTAAGCCGGGCTTAACGCTGGGCGGCTGGGAAACTCACCACCTAACACAAGCTAGAGAGGTCTGTGCACGCAAATTAAAACCAGCTCCCAACAAAGACACGGCATCAGAAAAAAAACCAAACTTGCTGATTACACCTAAGGCTTTTGAAGATTACATCAAGTCAAACTTTTATTAGCAAAGTTGAATTTCATGTAAAATGAAAATATCCTTTAAAACCGTACATGCACATATGCATGATACAAACAGCAACTACAGTACAAACACATTTCTCTAAAGTTTAACAAATGCACGCTAACATTTAGCTCAAAAAGTAACAATGTAACAGTGACACATTTGCTTTGATCTTTTCTCACGAAATTACAAAGTCTCTTGTTTAAAGTAACAATAATAATAAATGAAACAGATAGTACGCTTTGGCTCAAACCCACGCATTGTTTCCTGCATGAAAACGGAACAGGCTACTCCAGATTACAAAACTCACTCATTTGATAGCATTAATTGAAAGCTTTACATGAAAGATACAGAGCTGCAACGTAAACATGTACGGATGCTCCAACACGGTCATCTCCTTTATTTTGAAACACTACACATTTTAAGAGATGCAGCTGAGGGCTTGATACTTCGCCAAATGAACGGAAATTCTCTTGTCATGAAGAACAATTTCCCTTTTTGTACGTCCATTCTTACAGGTATTTAAAATAATCTGGACTAACCACTCATCTGCAAAATGACTACAAAACAGATTATGAAGAGATTTCCTTTGAGAAGCGCACGAGGATTAGCGAATGTCATTCTAACATTAGTCTACAAAACTACATGAGGAATTACTGTAAAAACCACAAAACTTCTTGTACAGAAAGACTGTGCTAGTATTTGTTTGCACCTCAAAAAGAATATTGGCCTGAATGTTTCTATTAAAACCTCTCACATACTGGATCTGACCCATTCGGTCAATGCAAGCAGTTATCAGAAAAAGAGTTACTCATTAAAATCTGTAAGACCGCAGCAAAACAAGTATCATGAACCATTACATGATTCACTAATGAGAGTCATTTAAAACAGAGTTACAGAGAAATTATCTATTATACATACACACACACATTTTTGTCCAGAGGGGAAAATCATTTTCAGATTTGGTTTCTCACCGTGCCCTTCGCAAAGAGGCAGCCCCAGGCGGGGCTGGGGGCCTGGCCAGCGCGGCAGCCCGCACCTGAAGAGCCGAGGAGGCCCCAAAACGTGGATTTCTGAAGCCTGGGTTCACAAATTTTACCAGAGAATGAAGCTGAGGCCATTCCTACAAATTCTCTACTGTGCAATTACGTTATTTTTTATTTTTTTTAATAAACATAGAAATTATACGCTTAGGTCTGAGCTTACAACCCGCTCCGGAATCAGTCACTGATACGCTGCTCTGCGAAAGCAAATGGGCTACTCGGGGAGGCAGCACGCAGCTTATTTTTCTTAATAATAAAGAAGAGGTGATTTTATGCACAGTTGCATGTCAAGCACAGTCAAAACCTCACAACTTTCTGTACGAGCAACTTTTGTACCTCTCTTGTTCTGCAAGAGGCTGTTTGAACTCCCAAGCGGGGGCTGTCCGGCGCCAGGGAGCTGCTCCTCTTCGCTGTGCCAGACGCCCGCCTGGGTCCACGCAGACACCAACTCCGAAAACGTCATTTCCCCTCTTACCCTCGTACTGGCAGCAAAATGTACCAACGCATCGTACCCACATGTGACCAAAAAAACAGCTAACTTGAACTAGCGCTCCAATTGCCTCACCCTTGCCACTAGAGAGTTGGCAGCAGAAAACGCTAGGACTGATTCACTAAAATTTCCTTCGTGACACAGCGTGCGTGCTCACACTGCCGGCGTTTTTAATTCCAGGGTAGGTATCCATTAATGAAATCACTACAGATTTTCATCAACTAATTTTAATAAATGCTCCCAGACAGCACTGAAAAGTTATTTGATTAAGGGAATACTTCAAAGTTGCAGTACAGTTGGTATCGATACTTTTAATTCAATCTACATGTCCATACTGCTTCTCATCTGCAACAGACTGCCCCAGAACGAAAGCGCAGACTGTTCACTGCCTGTGGCAAAGAACTGCTCAGGAAACTATAAGCTTATAGTGTTAGTTCCTTTTTGAAAGCAAATCTCTGAAATAGCATTAGTGGCCTGCACTTTCCAAGACCCACTGCATGAGCGGTACCCTGAAAGAATAAAATACAACAGCAGTGGGTGGGGGGGGGGGGGAGGAAGGAAAGAAAAAGGAAAAGAAATGACTGAGACGGAGAAGAAAGCTCATGTGAGTTAGTTTCCCTAGGAGTTTTAGCCATTAGTTTAATATTCATTGGGCATATTCCCCAAAAGTCAGTGCACACTGTAAAAATTCCATTGCACATCTTTTTGTCACCGTATGATTTTTAGGCCCTGAGGCATAATGAAACACTAAGATTTAAGGGTCTGAATTAAAATTTCAAAAGAAAAAGCACTCATACCGGCACAGATGAGTAGCACATCACAGGAATGTCATAAACATCTCTCAGCAGCAACAGAGCAACTGATAGCACAGGGGATTTATTCATCATTCGATAGCTTGACGCTCACTAATACGGTCTGAAATTTGCGGCTGCTTACCAGAGGTGTTTTGGGGGACGCTGAGCCTAGCCGATCTGCAGCAACCCAAAGCAGAAGCAAGTGCCTGCCCGCTGCCGGGCTGCGCAGAGCCTGGAAGTCACCGCCGGCCCTGCCGAGGAGCCACGGCGCGGACAGCCTTGCCCGGTTCGGAGACCGACCCAACCCTGCCCGGGCTCTTCGCGCAGGGCAGCTACCGCGGCTTTGGGGCTCCTGCCGTAACTTGGCTCCCTGCCTCTCGCTGCCCTCCCTGGGGTTTTGTGCGTTTGCAGCGGGAGGAGCATGCTAAGAAAGGAGAAAAACAGCCTGAAATCCATCACCCCTTGAAAGGCTGGAGACGGCCGTAACTTTGCTCTGGGAAAACTGGTGTCGCAGGATCTACTTCCGCACCTACCAGAGAAAGCCGGAGCGGCCCTCCTTTCGTCACCAGAGAGCCTCAGTGTGGTAGAGATGTAAGATTAAGGGATTAGCTTTAATATTTAAGAAGTGCCAGACAGTGGAAATATCTCCATTTAAAATACAAAATATTTCACTGAAAATGACTGAGAGAACAAAACAAAGCTCGCCATAGTCAACGCTGCAGTAGCACATGCTAGGGCAGATGATTCCTAAAGGAACTGCATTAAAAATAGGCTGAAGCTTGCAAGAAACATCGTCACAAGTCTAATCAGTTCTTAGTCTTTGTCTCTTTTGGGATACAGCAGACAAGAGTCAGCAGATAACGATCCCGGTGGGAAATCTCTCTTTGCTGACAAGATGCCAATTTTCACATCCCTCCAACTACTCCCTTGCTTCTTTTTTTTAAATGAAGATGACTTTGGACTTTTTCAGCATTCAGCTTAAGTGAAGTGCAGAAAATAAGACTTTATACATAACACAGAACGAACGACTTTGTCAAATCCTTCACATCCCAGAGGTCACTGACATGGAGTGGGGACTATTTTTGACTCGGGGCAGATTTTACAGTCATTGACACAGCATCACTGGGGTTTTGGGGTTGGCTTATCGGGGATTTGCTTTTCCCAAAGAGAGGCTACAGAAAAGGTCACTATGAGTAAAAACACAAAAGAGGAACAGCTATTCAGAAGCATCCAGCACCAAAGACATTATTTTCAGTAATTACTGAGCACTTTTGAGAATTTAGCCACTCTAGTGAGAAGCACAAACTTACGGTTAGCCACTTATAAATCCTGGCCTTCCTATTTGGAACAAAGTGCATTTATACGTGCAACTAATAGATTGGCAATTCCAGGTGTTATCTGTAAACTCTTAACCATGCGAGTAATTGTTACTTCCACTCTTTCTTCCACTGAAGTAACAGAGACCATGAAGGAACCACTGGGGACATTTGGCGAACTGCTACCAGGATTTAAATGGCTTTTAGGACCTATTTCTCCTACAGGAATTAGTGGTCTCACAACAATGTTTTAAAAAAATTGTAACTGAAGTGGCAGCCACTTGTAAGTTCAGAGAAGAAATGAAGTAGTATTAAAACTCTAATCAAATAAGCATATATTAAAATACAAATGATTTTATAGATAATCGGGAGATCCAAATACTAAAAGACCAAAAAAACGTGCTGGCAAGAGCGCTCAGCTTTGCTGAGTTCATAGGGGAAACGACGGGCAAAGAAAAGAACTACAACAGAGAGGGTCTAAACCAGCATTCAGTAAACAAAATGTAAAAGAAACCGTATCATAATATTTCCTCTTTGCTTTTGCTTTTGTTTATTTAACAATGAATAGCTTGAAAATAAATGCTCTCTTGATACTCACATAGATGTATTTTATGTGATATTAGAAAGCAGTACGATTCATGCGATTGGCTTACACACAACTCCTCTTCTGAAAACTGGTTTCGCTGGTTCAAGCTCATTTTGAGAAGCAATCCTATTACTACACGGCTATACAGACTCATGCTAGCATCATGTCTCATTTCAAAATAAAACAAGGCTGATTTTAAACTGGGTCAATATTAACAGCATATGTACAATGTCTCCATGAAATGAATGCCAGCACACAAATATACAGATACGAGACAGGCAAAAAGCCTTTTGCTTAGAAATGCAGCTTGCAGAGATTCAGGAAATCAAATTAAAATTCTTAATGATGGTCGGATGGGAACCCTGTTTTGCCTTGCCACAGGAAAGTTACTGCAGCTTATTTTATTTAAGGAAATAGTGCCAGCTACTGGACAGAGGATTCAGACACATGATCTGCACTTTATCTTTTGAGAGCAAATTTTCCACGCATAAAGTTGCATCTCTAAGAAACGGTAATTGCAGTCAGCTGTAACCACTAAAATAAATTTAGAGCATCTTAAGCAAAGGAGTTTATTTCCTTATGAAAAATTAAATAATACCTAGAATATATTTCTCCAGTACCGTTTTCCCAAAATTATTGTTTTCCTCAGCAGGATTCGTTGTGTCACTTTGTAGAATAACCTGTGTTTTTGGTTTTTTTTTTCCTTACTGGGTTCTGACCTCTCCAAGGCTGAGGTCGTGATATATGAGGGAATACTGGGTATAAAAGTATGTACAAAGTGACAACAGCCACGCAAGAAAAAAATATATTTTACAGAGAAATATATTCCAAAATTAAGAAACACACAGAATAGCAAGTAACTATACATATGTAACACTGAGAAATTGTGTTTTGGTAAGACTGACATATTTTGTATACTAAGGAATGATTCGGTTGGTTTTTAATAGAAGAAAACACCTGAACAATTAGGATGGAAAACTCTCAAAACTCATCTTTTAGTGGCAGTGACTTATTTTTGTATTACCTGGATGTCAGGTTCCTGACTGACTCAATTGGTAACCTATTTCCAATCACATATGGTAGCTGTGCAGTGCTAGTCAGGATATGTATCACCATTCAAAAGGAATCATTCTTGCTAACATTTTACGCATGGAGAGGAAAAGTTGCTGTAGAACTCCCAGTGCTTTCAACTGATCCTTTTTCCTTAGATCCAGAATAAGCTCCAATAAATGAACCATCTTCATTGAACATCCCGTGTTCCCCTTCTCCGTAATCTACCAGACTATCAGCACTTTCGGTGGCTTTAATGTCCCCGTTTATTGACTGGAGGCTGCCTTTCAGCGGCTTTTCATCGCTGTCACTACAAAACAAAGAAACGTCTTTCCAAAAATCCAGCTTTTTATTGCAAGCACGGAAACTGCTTTTTTGCTATGAGAGAAACCAGGATCAGGGAAGAGGGAAGGAAATATTTTCTACGTGGGTTGCGTATTTAGAACAGTCTGACCATTTGCTTCCTGTTCGGCCCGGTGCAGCTCATCTGTGCTGACCTACGTTTCTCCGATTTTTCCATGTAGCTGAGTTTGTGTTTAACAAAACCGGTTAAAAATGGAAACACTACTGAAAATCGCTCCTGTGTTTTGGTTTGGTCCCTTTCTTCTTTTTGCTTTTGAAAAGATGGAGTGAAGGAGAATGGACAGAAAGTGAAGAGGGAAGAAAAGCAAGATGCAAATGCCAAAAATGATTTTAGGGACCCACTGCAGTGGTCAGTGCCTACTGTCAAGTCTTTTGTACCTTACAGAAAGAGGTATTTTCATTTCACAAGGCTGTGGGCAATTTTCAGGGCCCATTTGTTTCATTTTCCTTTTGAAGTGGGTGGGTGAACTGAAGTGCAGTTGTGGGATGAGGCATAAGCTGTAGGTTATTTCTCACTACTTTGTGAGCATTTATTTGATTTTAGGGAAGTAACAAAGTGGGGTGTTTCCCCCCCCTTTTTTTTTTCATTTGTTCTCCTGGTGTCTTATCTTACTGTAACTAATAGAGTTTCTCTCTGATAAAGGGGAGAAATAGGGAAGAAAGAAAACAGAATCTGCATCATAAACCTTCACAGTATCTGTATCTGCTAATATGCAGTACATGTTTAATGGCAATTTAAAGGAAGCGTTGTCATTTTGGACAACCAAAATGAAGACTACTCATGAAATTCCGTTAGAAACTCCTCCTAAGGTCAATGCAGAGGAATCAAATAAGCCTAAGTAATGCCTGAACATGAAAATTGGTCGACCTTTGCTTATTTCTAGAGAAGCAGGCGAAGCATTTGCACCTCGAGGCCATTTTCAACGTCCTGTGGACTCAGACTTCGCAGAGCATCGGCTTGCTCCATTAAAAATGCCTGCGAAGCCTATCTGAGCTTATACATATATCTGAGCTTATACAAAGTTTTAGACTACTTCTGGGCTATGTATCAGGTATGGTCATACGTCTCTCTTAGACCAGTACTCTGACATTTCACTGTTTCACGCAAGATGAGACTTGCCCTTGGTCAGCAGCTCACAGCTGATCACATACTACTCTAGCCCGCTCGTATGAAACTACTACTTAAAGCCTCTCTCGGGCTTCAAGGGGTTGAAGGTAAGAGAAAAGCATCAGGATGCATCGGTGTTTTTTAAGTATGTTTCCAGCCATCAAGCAAAAAAAAAAAAAAAAAAAAACCACACACAAAGGAAAGTGGGAAAGTCAACTACAAGTCTCTAAACAACCCCAGAATTAGGCCTCTTGACTAGGTACATGATTACTTGACTACAGTCCTTGTAAATACCAATCCTGTTTCAAAGGTTTGGTAATGTTATCTGAGGAAAAAATGAAACATGCCTGAAGTTTACCTCTTCAATATCTAACCAGTAACACGTAACCAATGCATTAAAAATATTTGCTTCTTTTCTGCATCTGGCATTTCTATTTATAAAAAAGACAAGTTTGGATTTGGGGGAATGGGGTGAAAGTTAACCTCAGGACTTTCTTACCTTTCTAAATATTTGTCCCATTAGAAAGCATTAAGAATTAAATAAAGATGAAATTATGCAGGAAAAAAAAACCCTATTCCAGTACAAATAATGTAGTATATAAGTGGGATTTCTCCAGAAACTTTATGCCTTTAAGGCCAGCTACACCAGTTTTCCAGTATGGCTCATATAATGATGCATCTTTCTTCATTCCACAGTTACATAATACCGTAAACTTTATTTTAAAGCAGCCAAAATCATTATTTCAGGTCTCACACAGAAACTTCTGTAGTGAGATCTTTTCTTGCCATCTCTGTTTTTTTTAGATTTTTCTCCTGTTTCCTTCCCCAGAATGAACAACCCCCATATTACAAGATGAGGGCCTGACTGGGTTTGAGAAACCCACTGAAGGCATACAAATCTTTCCATTGACTTCGGTGGACGTTAGAACAGGACCCCAAATTATCAAATATATTTACATTATTCATACAATGCTAAATAAAACGCATGTGAAAAACAACCGTTAATACATCAGCACTTACTTATATCCCAACTTGGGTGGATTTAAGTATACTGGATATACCTGTATATTCCTACTATCATCCACTCCTGTGAGGTTTGCTTTGGAAATGAAAAACAGCTTTACTTGCATGCTATAAAATGTCCTAAATAAAAAACGGTGATGACATCTAGAAACAAAAAAAAACCCAACAAACAAAAACGCTTGTTAAAGCAGTTCCTATTTACCTATATTCCCCAAAGATTTCATCTTTTATTGATTGAGCTTCAGGATCTGGATGCAAATCTTCTTTTTCTTTCACTGTACAAATAAAATAAAGCACAGATCTGTACGCCATGTTCCATCATGGACTTTTCTTTTTGCAGATGCAATGGGAAAACTGCCTCTCACTACCTACGACTTGCCCTGGAAAACAATAGCTTTCACTAAATGTTCTACTGCACTCAAAGAGCACGTTTTCACTGAGAGCTTGTTGTCAACACCTGATTTCTAAGAGGCTCAGCAAGTGTTTCACACTTAGATCCTTACTCATTGCTTTGAAAATTACAGAAATGCTTTTAGCAAAGTATTTTATTGTTACGCAGTTTGGCTGAAGCGGGAAGCATACGTCAGTTACATCACGTAGCAATTATCAGTTGGAAAGGGATCACGCAAGGGGCCCTTCACAGGCAGCTCAGTGGTGCATCTGTTAAGGACCTTGACTCTACAGTGGATTAAACACCGAAAGATTGAGCAAGCAGTATCGAAGACCTGGGCTAGGTCTCTTAGCAGCCCACAGCACTCTCTCACCCAGAGAGCAGTTTTGCCTACGTTCGTTAGAAACCGCTCTGTGGATATTTATCAAAAGCTACAGACCCTAATTGGGTGTTTCTGCCTGTGGCTTTGCAGCCTCTAGAGATAAAAGTCTGAAGAATGCTTGTTATTAACAAGTGAACACAGCAAACTGACAATAAATTCATTTACCTGAATATTTTCCTCCTTTATTTCTTCTGACAAAGCAAACAGTTAGCAGCAGTAAGGTGAGCAAAGCGATGGCGCACATCAGTCCAATAAACCACCCCTGCGTGGAAATTCCATCATAAATGCCAGCATAAGCTGTACAAAAACAGGAGAGAAGTAAAAAGAGGAAAATTAACCAGATGAAAATGGCATCACCTTTCCATAAAATGAGTTCTTAACACTTTCTTCACTGAATTTTAATTGAATCAGACTATCACTACTTATTGTGCTCAATTTAAAGAAATACAAGACAGAAATATGTCCAAGCATGGCATTTTTAGACTTAAGGTGAACGCACTGTCTACAAGGCACAATGCAGAAGTGAGAGAAAAGAAATTGTGAAAGATTGTTTGACTCAAAGGATTAATGCCAACGAGGAAAGCTGAACAGAGAACTGTTAAGTCTCTCATGCAAAGGCCGTTTTGCGAAAGAAACAAGAGTTAAAAGTGCACCTGATACATGCAAACCGCTCGACTAGCACGTTTACAATGGATTATATCACAAAACTACCCTTTCAAAACTGCATAGGAGGTAAAACTATGTTTGGTAAAGGTCTGTAATTGTTCCAGGTTACTGTGTATCAAGTAAAGCATAAAACCTGAGAACCACGGATGCATTTAAGCTCCCGTGGCATTCCACTGCAAGAGTCAACTTAAAAAACACAGAGCAAATTCATATTTTATGATTTTGATATTTAAGTTTACACTTTCGGTGCACATCAAAATACATAACCTCAACATTTATGTACATTCAAAATAAATCTTTATCACCTTGAAGGGTTTCATTTCTCACCTCTCCCCCTTGTCTCAATTACATCTTCAAAAATGCTATTGTTATCAACCCAATTCTTAGTCACTAGACGAACTGTATATTCAGTTCCAGGCTCAAGTGCCTCAATGGGGTGAACCTTTTGGGTGGGATTTACTGCTTCTGAAATCCTGTCGATCCCTTTACCTACGAAATGTACATATTCAAGTCATGTTAATTAATTTTATTCATTCAACAAAGGCCTGTGACATGCACAGTTACAAATAATCTAAGTAACACACCAATATGACACATAAGGATACGTTTAATATTTGTCAAGAGATAATCTGATTTTTAAAAGCAGACGGTAAAATAAAAAACATTCCCTCTATTTGATTTGTAATATTCTATCAGATAAAATAAACAGCAGACTGAAATAATCCTGATGTTTATGAAGGGTTTCCCAGGATGAACGCTAACAATGACGGGGGATTATGGATCTGCTTTAACTAATGCATGCTTGAAAAAATTACAGCTTGAAAATGGGCTTGCTTTGTATAGATAATCTGGGGTTTGATGCTTCTCCATTGAACTGAACTCAGCAGGGAAGAACAGACAGCTTGTTAGTTATCTAGAAACGGCTTCTTGTATGTCTCACGGAAAAATTAACGTTGGGATTTATACTCATTTCTCTCCTGACAGTGATTTTTCATGTCCTTTTAAATTCCACAATGCCCATGCAAAACAGTGGTTTAGACACAGCTCAAATCTTCTTTTAAATGGATATTTAGGTATTTAAATATTCTTGATGAGTCTAATATTTGATTAGGAGGTAGAAGGGAAACTCCAGTAGGTCTAATTTTAGTCTTTTTTACTTGCACTCCCACTGTAATTTCTGTCTGCATTAAGCTTGTAAGGTATTAAATACACTTTTTAAAGACAGCATTTGTGGACAACAGTAAAAGGACACCATTACATGCTAGCAGTCACTCCAAGAGTAATGAGAAAAGTCTGTGCACGCAACCAAATTCAGAAGTGCTTGTCCATGTGACGAATTTCTTTGGCTAACCAATGGGTACAGCACAGGAGTGCGCTTACCTTTCACGTTAGGAAAGGAATCGTGGAAGACAGCATTAATAAATGACTCTTTAATTGTGTTCAGGTGCCTAATTTGCCTGATTTATCTGGCCATCTTTCTGAAGTCTCCTAAGCTTAAGCATTGAGCACACAGTATAACTTGAAAACTGCTGGACCAACCATCTAGCACTCACAGTAAAGCAATGCTCATTAATACTTAAGCCAGTAAACAAGCAAAGCAAGAAGTTTGGAGAGATTAAGGCTTAGCTGACAGCTGAAGGGAAAAAAAAAAGATTAAGACCAATGCAGGCACAATCAAAGCAGCAGTACATGATAAGTTTTCCAAGGCAACTATACATATATTACAGTAAGCAGTTAAATTAGTAGACCACTGGGAACCAGAGAGAACACGTACAGCTGAAATACTGCTGATACTGAAGCACAGTGTATTAGCATAAATTAATCCATCTATTGGTAGGTTTTGCTAGATGAAGTATGTGAAACTGAGCTATAATTTTTAATCAAACTGCAAATTAAGCAACGGGATACCACAGGTATATTTTAATTACATTTTCTAAAATCAAGACATCAGAAAACTTTGCTTAATTGAAACACTATCCATAAAGCAACAAGGCTTAATATGAACTTCAATCTCATTATGCATTAAATACCTTATAACACTTACGCACGCCAGGCCGACCCAGTAATCATATATTCCAATTTGCACACAACAAAGGTCTTACAACAAAGGTCTTCACTGAACTCTTTGTCAGCAAAACGCTCAACTCTGCGCTCTACGGTAGGCCCACAGCGGCGGTTAGTTGTGCGTTTTCTTAAACCAACTTAACCAGTCCGTACACCTCACCTATTTATTTCCAGCTTGTGCCAGCCGCTTGGTTTTGAGCGCTCAGCTATTTGCATGAACAGAAACGGAGAACTGGTACAGCTGAAAAATAACCCCTTTTCTGCCCTGGGATTCCTCCACGCTACTGAGCACACGCTTAAGGGCCCCGTTGGATCAGGGACAAAACACCATGGGAGTTTTGCCTCAACAGCCTAACCTGACCCGACCGGGACTTGTGCCTTACCATTGGCTCTCTGGGATTTAAACATTTGCTATCACGAAACACTAAACAGCTTTTTTTTTCCTGCAACTTTAAAACTCAGTGCATGTGTCCAGTGACGAGTGAGGTTTCCTTCCACGCCATTTCTTTCTGGTCTGTGTCATACTATATACATATAGTACCTACAGAAGAAAAAGCATTGCTAACTGGGGGAAAGTTTGGTGGATGGAATAGAAAAAGCAGTGTAGAATCCTGAAAAATAAAAGCAAAGATATACAGATAAGGAAAAGCTCAATATACTGAAAGGTCAGTGAGCTGCAGAAATTAGCTTCAGAAAATTGAAAGCTGTTGGGTTAGGTTTTTAATCTACAATAGGGGAGAAGAAGCGTTAGTAATAAAGGCATATCACCAGCACTTCTCATCTTCTCCCACTATTTATCAGCCATATCATGGGACTAGCATGAACATTAAACACTGAACTGCAATTTTACAATATTCCTACTGGGCTTCGAGATTTATGAGAACAGCAGAACACACATTTTTTATAGAAGCTTACGGTATAAAGGGAAAACAATATAAACTGCCCCTAAAGACTCGTGAGAGTGCTAGTTTTCCAAAAGTTAGCACATCTGTTAGGAAACATATAAAAAAGCTGGCAGTCTCACAACTAAATACTGATTGTGGGCAATATCTTAATTTATAAACATACCTGTCTAAATACATCTGCTCGCAATAAATGGAGAGCTGAACTTTCATTAGTTTTCCTCTACTGACTGGCTATTAAAAGTGCATAAATATGCAACGTAACTGTTCTTCATCTCCTGGGCTTTTATAGGGCAGGAGGTAATTCATGCTAAATTGTGAGGATTTTAAGCTACGGCGATTACTAAGCCTGCCGTGCGTAAAATCTTCTGAGAAGAATTTGGAGGGGAGGCTTCCGAGCGAGCGGTACCCTCTTCCTGCT